TTTCTGATTTGAAAAATATAAAAAACAGCAAAATCTTTTAAACTCCTCGATCAACGACATACTCTAAATACCATTTAGACCTGTTGTTTTCATTCATTCTCAAAACTATACCTGCCCATGTTGCCTTTAGTTAAGAGTAAATCCAGCAGCTTTTAAAAGAACCAGCTCTAAGTTAAAAACTCAACTTCCATTTATATTTATAATGGAAAACATTTCAAGTCACTAGGAACTCCCACAAATCTACCATTAATCTTTAATTCATCTCATTACATGTAACTGCCGTTAGCAGTTATCTGAAAGAACTAGGCCTATGAGGTGCCTGCCTCAAAGGATGTTCAGGGTGGTTTCAAGTATTCGTAATTAAATGTCTCAGTCTTTTAATTATGTAGATATTTCCCCAGAATTGTAAGTTAAAACCAAACCAAAACCAAAATAAGAGTGAATATAAGAAAATGTATCTGAACAGTAGATATTGATTGGTAAAAAATCAATTTCTCTAAAAATTCGATTCCCCCTTCCAGTTTCAGTGAAATGTCATAAAAAAAAACAATGTTGGGGGTCAAAAATAAAATTCTTGATAGTTTAGTAATTCCTTGTGTCATAAAGAGGAACAATTAACATTATTGGGAAAATAATAAACAAGTCTTCTGGGTTAAAGCATTTTAGAAAGCAAAGTAGCTACTATTTACTAGTGGGACTACTGAACACCAGGTAATCTGCTTGATTTTAATCACTGTAACAGATATTCCCCCTAAGTAATTTGAAGAAAGTACAGTAATTTACTCCTCCAAACACAAAGACCTGGGACTAGAGTTGGAACCACACCGGTAAGCCTGAGCTCTTTAAATGCATGACTATCAGGGAATTAACTGATAGGTTAAGAGATGCACAAAAAAGGGCTGGATGCTTCTTCACATTACGATTTCAACCTAAATTAAATTCAGGTTCAATTTTTTTAAAGACAATACCTCCAAGGTGCTGTGTGTTTCCTACATTATGTGACGATGACAGGCACATCGGCTGGGTGTCAATCTTGAGGTTCACATCGAATACTGACTGAGGTCTGACATTATCAGCCTCACTCCTCCATTATAAAGTCCTCCATTAATTTTTCGCCCAATGGCTTTACTGTTCACTGATGACTGGTGCCTGGATCCATTATTTCATTAAGAGTTGCAAAAGTAGAAGAATGTATTTCAACATTCATTTTTATTTTTTAGAAGAAATTCTATAAAATACTTTCCCTCATTACTGATTAGTTTACACGATAAATGGGGACCAAAGAAACAGATATCACCACTCTGATGAAATACTCAATGTGGGAAATTCTCTAAAGATAAATGACCCAGTTTCATCAGCAAAGAAATAGAATGGTGGAAAAAAAGATGCATTAAGTGATTAAGAGACCTGAGACATAGCAATGTATGGATCCTGACTGGGTCATGATTCAAACAAAAGCAACTATGAAGTGACATTTTCTTCTTTAGACAATCATGAAACTTTATAGACTCAGTATCAGATAAGAAAATTATTGTTGGGTATGATAATGGCATTATGATTTTATATATTTTAAAAAACTCATGTTAAAAGATATACAGAAATATGGGTGAAATGATATAATATCTGGCATTTGCATTTGAATATAATAGGAAAATGAGGAACAGATGAAACAAAATTTGAAAAATGTTTTTAATTTTTGAAGCTGGGCTATCTATTTAGAGGTTCATTCTTCTATTTTTGCATTATATTTTGAAAATTAATCACAAATATAGAAGTAGCCAATTTTCCTAAGTGACTCGAATTAAGCATATTCACACTAAGATCACCTCTCTTTTAATATTTCAAAAGGCTGGATTGACTGAGTTGTAAAATTAACCTGGCTTTTGAACTTAACGTTCCATCTAAAAATATATATAACGAAATAAAAACCAGTTAACCAAAAAAACTTAGCATTAGGATTTAGCTGGAGATAGCTACTTCATAAAAACATTGATCAACTCTTCGAAGAATTACAATTTGTTTCTATTACCTATTTGCAAACGTGCAGTCTACTCGGCCAGTAATTACTGACACTATTATGATTCATAATGAATTCTTCTGACCATATTTGAAAATATAGCTTATTAAGAAGTGCTGGTGTTTGAAATATTTCACTTGTACCAAATTTTGTGGGAATCAAAAATTTCAAACTGGAAAGTAGTTAAAAACCCACGCCACCTGATAATTTCTTTATTCCAGGATGTCAAGATAAGCTTTAAATACTTGCATCTGCCTACCTTAGAATGTTTTCAAATGACCATACCATTTTAACCATTTTGATGGTTGAAACTATTTATCAACTACTGGAGTAAAGAAAAATGCAAATAAATGGAATCTAAGCAATGTAACTTTCTATTAACCATCACTTTCCATTTCATCCCAAGCCATTTCACAGAACTGTGAAAAAGAACCAAATAAAGTTTTTGACTCAATGAGGTATATATTATCAGAAAAGCACACTGCTACAATCTAAGAAACGTGAGTTTGTCACCATTCAGCCACAATTTTGTGACTCGGTCATTTCCAATTTCTCTAGCATGTAGTCCTTCAAGATTACTCAAGATGAATAGTTTTCAATTTTATTAGTAAAAACTTCAAAAGGTAGTTTGCTACTGTCAACTAATTGGTGTCGATTTCATTCATTTACTATAAAAATTTTGATAAATGAATAAATGAAAAAGAACTCGAAAAAATAAGCGGCAGCAGAAAACGTTGACTGGTTACTGGAAATAATCTATTTAACTGCACGTTTAAAAATGCCTCATAAAACCCAAGCTTTTCAAAATGAATTAAAGATTTGAATGTAAGACCTGAAACCATAAAACTCCCAGGAACATTTGCAGTAAGCTCCTTGACATTGGTCTTGGCAGGGATCTGACACCAAAATCAAAAGCAACGAAAGCAAAAATAATAAGTGGGACCACATCAAACTAAAAAGCTTCTGCCATAGCAAGGGAAGTCATCAACAAAATGAGAAGGCAACTTACTGAATGGGAGAAAATATTTGCAAATAATCTGATAAAGGGTTAATACCCAAAATGTATTTTAAAATCTCATACAACTCAATAGCTAAAAAAAAAAAAAAAATCCAATCAAAAACTGGGAAAATGTGAATAGACATTTTTCCGAGGACAAGCATACATATGAAAAGATACTCAACATCACTGACGATCAGGGAAGTGAAATCAAAACCACAGCAAGATATCACCTCACACTTTTTTAGTGTGGCTATTATGAAAAACACAACAAGTGTTGGCGAAGGTGTGGAGAAAAGGAAACTATGGTGCACTGCTGGTGGGAATGAAAATAGGTGCAGCCACTATGAAAAACAGTATGGAGGTTCTTTGAAAAATTAAAAATAGAAATACCATATGACCCAGCAACTCCTCTTCTGGGTATTTATCCGAAGAAAACAAAAACACTCACTTGAAAAGACCATGTTCATTGCAGCATTATTGACAATAGCCAAGATATGGAAACAACCTGTGTCCAACAATGGATGAAGAAAATGTGGTACACATACACAGAATACAATATTATTCAGCTATAAAAAAAAGAATGAAATCTTGACACTTAATGACAACATGGATGGACCCTAAGGGCATTATGCTGAGTGAAGTAAGGCAGAGAGACAAGTACCATTATGATCTCACTTACATGCAGAATCTAAACAAAAAAAACCCCAAGCTCATAGATACAGAGATCAGATTGGTGGTTGAGAAAGGCTGGGTGTGGGGGGTGAACAGGCTCAGGAGGTACAAAGTTCCAGTTATAAATCAGGGGGATGTAATGTACAGCATGGCAACTTTAGTTAATACTACTGTATTATATATTTGAAAGTTTCTGAGATCTTAAAAGTTCTCATCATAAGTAAAAAATCAACTATGTGTGGTGATAGATGTTAACTAGACTTATTGTGGTGGCCATCTGGCATATATACAAATCCCAAATCATTATGTTGTACACCTGAAACAATTATGTCATTTAGACCTCAATAAAAAAAAAATGACTTCAATGGAATTTCTACAAATAGTAAAAAACTATGAGGTTGTCAAATTAGTAAGAAAAATACCTAATTACAAACAACCCGTATTTATACACCGGCCATTCTAAACTTTTCCCGTTAGTAAGCTGAAGCTCCCAGAACTGTCAAGTAAAAACTTGGCACGTTCAGAAAATGAGTTCAGAAGCACAAGGAAAAAGGCCACTAAGAGTAGGAGCCTAAGAGCTCGACGACAACGGGGAGGAAGGCTGGCAGTAGACACGTAATGATCCCAGAGGTACCATCTGAACCACTGGACATTTCTGATCTGCCTAAGTTATCAAAATTCTCTTTAATTTCTAAAATTCCACAAATTACGCCTAAGAATTAGCAAATTCCCTCTGTGAAGAATGTAAACACTTTTCAGAAAGGGTTTAGCAATCATTAACTTTTTAGTAAGAAATAATACGGGCATTTTTCTTTCTTATTTCCTGACATTAGCATACTCCTTAAAAAAAACCGTTACCCCATATAATACAGTGCAACTATTCAGTAGACACATTCATTTTATGTAGACAGCATCAGAGGCCAAAGCATAATTTATGCAGTGATTCTGTGGTAAAATTTATTCCTGCTTTCTTAAAATTCCTAGCCGATTTTAGGACCACGGTCTTACCATACTGGTAAATGTCACCTGTGAATAACGTAGGGAACCCAGCTTGGTTTTGCTAGCGGTCATACAAGAAAATTCCATGCATTTTATGTTTAAAATACACAGACATATAGTTCTTGATGTAAAAACAGATTAGCAATAAAAAATACCTAGAAGCAAACAAAAAGTTCACCATGTTAGACAACCAATTTGGGTCTGGAAATTTCTGCAGAGGTTCCTTCCCAAAGTATTTTCCAATCAAATTATTCTTTTTTCCAATAAAGATGAACATAAGTATAAATTGCTTAAAAATAACCTTAATTCTCATAGGCTGAGAGTTAAATATTTATTTACTCCATTTGATAAGGAAACAGGTACAAGACATTTTCAAGACTCAAGATTTGGCATTAAAAACTAGAACCTCAGTCATCAGAATTCCTATTTCCATGTTTGTGACTCACTAAATAGCTCTTAGAAAACAGAACTTTTCAAGCTGACTTTCTAATTAGACTTTAATCTTAAATGAAGTGTGTATGTGGTTTTATTAAACAACCTGTCGTATGAGAGACAAACTGGATGCCTTTTCATGAATGCTATTTACTACCGATATATCACCTGACAAGAGAGAACACAAATACTTAAAATTTAATGTAATCTCAAAAGTAAACATTTCCTAAGGGTTCTGGTTTCCAATGCCTGCCTACATAGTTAATAATACTTATTACTTGTTCAACGATTCCAGAAAAAAAACTTTTAAAGTTAAGAAAAGTTCTGAATTTGAGGTATATAAAGAATATTCAGTAAGAATAAAGTAGTTGAGATTTCCTTTTACTCAAAAAAAATCACTTCAAATAGTCAACCTCCATGTACAAAAGACAAGCGATCAATCACATTTATCACTGGACACAAAGGATATTCCAAAGGTATTTAAAAATTGTAATTAATTTCAAAAAGAAAAATTAAATTTACATTTCATTATCAAGACTATAGTTAACAATTATGATACAAAATATACAGTATTTACACTTAACTGTACAAAATAATTTAATGTTTACAAAAATATTAGAATGTTTATTTAGAGTTGACTGACACAGTCTTAAGTAATCTCTTCTAGAGAAGTATACAGTAAGACCACTGATTTCCATTTCATTTCTTTTTTAATAAGTCAAAGAAAGGATGCTGCAATGCTTCATCTAAGGTAATTCTTTTCACTGGATCATATTCTAGCATTCTTCGAACCAGGTCAAACAATTTCTCATGTTCTTCATCATGACAAAGCATAAATTCCTGGACAGGGGAGGGGAATGTTTTTAATTAAGAATGGTATTTAAAAAGTTAAAAAAATGTTTTAAACCTTAAAATCTTTTTTTCTTTTACCTTTAATGGTTTGCAGCGTCTCCTAACATATCTACCAGCAGAACTATGTTCATCCCAATCTAGCTGGTTATGGTGAAAATACTTCCGTTTTCTACAAGAAAAAGTTATCTGGATAAGTAAAAATAACAAAAGATTCACATGTTTACCCTGCACCTACTGGGACAGATGGAAGCATAAACGTCTCTATGCGCACGATTTTTTAAAATCTCAGAAATACTTATATATCAGCTTATAGAATATCTTCCTTAAAAAACAAAAACAAACAAACAAAAAAACTTCCTTATTTTGCTCTGTCCAATGTTTTAGTAACCCATCTAAATTCTTCCCAAATACCATACAGGGAACAACGCCAGCTTTAAAAACAGAGGCTCCTGGATCCATTCCCATAAATTCTGATTTCCCTATATGTGGAATGGGGCTGGAAATCTTTAAACAATCCTTGGGGTGACTTCTGAGGGGCAGCTGTGTTTGAAAACCACTACAGTGTCTTGTCCAAGGATATACAGCTGGTTAGCAACAGTATGGAATTCCAACTTAAATTAATATGACTCCAAAATCAAGCTCTTCTTACTACTCTTATTATTTTTACATCAACTTAAGAAAACATTTATGCAAAGGTTAACTTCAGAGTAAACACCATCACTTTTGTTTACTAAATCATAGGTAAATACTACATTACTTTTTAAACACTTGACTTTATAAAAAAAATTTCTATAGTTTGAATACGAACTATTTCAACAAAGGGCATTAATCCTAAAGTATACCTTGTTTTCTGAATCATGTGTGTTGGTATGGGCCCTAATATTCGTTCCATCATTGCCAGGTGCTCTTTACTATCATGAGTCTGAAAAACAAAGGAAAAAGAAATTCAGTACTT